AGACTAGAGCAAGGAAGGAGAGAGAAATTGATCTCTTCTTACCTATCTGATGGCTCGGTGACTCTGCTGGGACAGATTTCTGCGGACAGCAAGGAGGATGTGGGATGAGAAAGTGAAAGGGAAGCGCAGAGTGCACGAGCTGCTTCTCCAGAGCAGCAGAACGACAAGCGCTTCCCTCGAGGTGACACACACAAGCTGCACAACACACCAGTCTCACAGGCTGTTCTTCACCCATAGGCAGATCTCCTGCACGAGGCATTTTAAGGCTAAAAGACTGGTTTAGCCTTGTGCTGTCTTTTCTTGAGATCTGCCAGGGAGAGGCCTCATTCACCGCACCTTCAGCAATAAACCAAACCACAGGTAACAACACATGGGGAGGGAGAACACCGACAGCAAACCACACAAGCCAGTGAAGTTATATGACAAGAATGATACTGTATTACGAATGTAGGTGTGTGAATCATGAAGCAACAATGCTCCACTTTAATGTGAGTATTCAAAAAAAATTCCTCCAACGGGCATTCAGAACAGGAGTTAACCTAGGCTAGTTTCTCTTTCTTCCTTTCCCAAATAAAAGGCTGCTGAAACAGAGGAAGACTAACCTGGGGAAACTGAAGTCCGGCTCTGTGATTACCCACCTTTGGCTTACTCTGACATTTTAACATCTCGGTGCAGAATTGCTTTATTGTTTCCCCCCCTCTATGGGTTGCACTGAAAATGTTGATCCAGCACAGCATTAGTACCTGTTTTGCCCTGGAGTCACAAGTAAAAGAAGTATCATATCTACCCACCCTCCCCCGAAATCTTTCAAAAATAAATAATACGTCATAACGAGAATAAGAAGATTGAAAAATTTTATTTGTATGCAGCACATACAGGAAAGATCAAAACAAATATTAAAAGGTAGCATTTGTAAACAAATATATTTCACAAAAAGTTATACACTATCAAATTTTCTCTGAAAAAAATTCACGGTTATAGCTGTGTATAAAGGTATATTTATCAAAATCAAGTTTAAAACTACTTCATTTTTAAAATATCCCTAATGAAGATTCATTCATTCCAACAACTTCAGAGAGACCACAGATGTAAGGCCTAATTAAAACAACTGCATGAATGGAGATGGCACTGTGATTTCCAGTTTAAAAAAAAAAATAAAATAAAAATCGGCAAGTGATCAAAGTATCAGCCAAGCCTATTTAAAGACCTAGGTTTGTAAAATATACATTCAACATCGCAAATGTCTAACTTAAAAAAATAGAGCTATTTCACTGGATTGTCCTCATCTTGTAGTGTACTGATCACGAGCTGTGTTTTTGAATCCACTCAGAGGAAAGTTATCAGTAGGTAGTTTTATGCAATTGTATGGTTCACTTCCATAATCACATTTAAAATAAGACGACAGCAGCACCCTTTTAGCAAGGATTCATTTTTAACATTCTTGCCTTTATAGCAGCAGGTATGGTTTTGGGGGATGCTATCAATATAATCAGCAAGTCAAAAAAGGAATACACATACTCCATGAAGTTTATTATAGTGTTCTTTCCCTATACTTGTTTTCAAAGTTACGCAAGCACCTCTATTTTTGCTGCAGAACACAAAAATTAAAAACAAACGACACCCAAACCTATGACTAACTCAGTAGGCTCCCTTTGTTGGTGGTCCACAAGCCATTTTGATTGCCAATGTGTATTCTGTTTCTTCCTCCCTCCAATCTCCTATTTGCCTGTCAACTAAAAAACAAAGTTTCTCAAAGTTCATGTATTACCTTGTCTCAAAAGAAACAATTAAAGTAACTAAGGCACAAATGGCTGATCTTCAACAGCAGGCAGAGGGTCACAGATTCAAAAGTATGGTAGAATGTAAATCCCCAGAAACATTTCTGGTCTTGGTGCACTGAGAATTCTTACCAGCTTTCACAAAAGATTTTTCAAGATTTTTTTACAAAGATACAGAAAATACTTTTCCCAAGAATGTCCATGGACACTAAACAAGGATGGACATACATACATACAAAGACACACACTTTATGCACAGTACACGTTGAACATACTGCAGACAGACAAGGACCATGGAATGCAATGATGGTCTGAGATGGCAGGTGAAATGAAGGTGACTGTTTCTCAGAGGGTCGTCATGAGTTTATCTTGGTACATCATACTTTGGACTCCTCCTAAATTCTTCTGGTTCTGCTCCTGGATATACCGTAAATTGCTGTCCTCTCCACTTGTGGGGGGTTTCCAATATGGCCTGTCATCATGATAGGGTGGCCTGTACCATTTGCACAGTTATTGGTTAGTGAGAGATGGAAGTAAACTTACGAGTGCTACACAGCAACATGAGTTCCTCCCCCAAGTGCTAAACATGCATAGGTGTGAAGGGCAGCCACCAGTAAGGGAAGGTAACGGCGACCGACCTACAGATGCAGAAGCCGCTGAAGCAACCGGGAATATCTTTTGGCTGATTTCAAAAGGCTTTGAACCAGAGCTCAGTCATTAAAAACCCTCCCTGTTTTTCAAGTGTTATAGACAAGCGTTGTGCATCGCTGCTCCAGAATCCCAGAGGGATGGTGGGGAGGCAGGGGGTAGCTAGAGGAAAACTAATGTGTACAACAAACAACTGAAATAAACTGTATCATGCAAAACATTGAGCTCATGAAAACATATCCCTAAGGTCTGAAAAATTAAGAAAGGCAATCCTGTTAAGGACGAAAATTGCTCTTCTGTAAATATTGCTGTTCACACAGCACTGGTGCAGTTAATGACACTGAAGCAGCCTGCAAGTTGCAGAGTCGCATTTTATTACAATGAACACAGAGTCCCTAGCTAGTACAGGTATTTCTCTGTGACTGTGGACTGAAACTTGCAAAAGTACTAAAAGGAAAAAATTTTTTTCCTTTTTTGTTCATTACTTATTGCTGCTTAGAAACATTAACCTCAACCACTCCAAGAGCATCTCCTGAATCATTATAGGAGAGGGGGGCAATATATAAATAAAATTTTTGAACAGTATGCAGGAAACCACAGTATTTGAGATGCCTTTATGATCAAACTGAAGCTGCACTTTCTATTTTGGCAATTTGTTTTAATTTTCTCAGAAGGCTGAACATTATAATTTCACTGAAATTATTTGTTCACAAACAATTTCACTGAAAGGATTTTACTGAGAAGATTGAGACACAATCCTATATATTATTTCACAAATTATTAAAAAAAACTTTCATATATAACATGTATTGCCCAGGTAATTTCATTTCAGCCCTTTGCCCATTTTAGACTTGCATGCCCAGCAGAAAGAATTTCATGCATCTGTGGTTTGAGCTCAAGTTCATAGTCAGATGGATTAAGCTTTCTCAAATCAAGCTATCCACGATGTTAAACATCCAACTCTTCCACTTTGACTACGAGTTATTCTAACTTGAAGCTTCCATTTTAACCATACATTTATACACTTCTACCTGAGTGGGACAAAAATTCTGACCACCTTTTCTATCGAGCTTGCATGCCTGAGCTTTTAAGTTTTTTAGACTTACAAGCCTAGCTATAAAAAAGCCATTGTTCATATTTCACTGACCTTAATCTTTGCCCAGGGAGCAGAGGGGCTGAAGGGGGAGGTTGTCTACACACATTACAATACATTCTTGTGCTTATTTCAATATCACTTTGCTCCAGGGTGAACTATTTGGCTTTAAAATGTTACAGGCTAGCATCATAAATGAAGGAATCTTTAGGAAAATTTCAGCAAAACTTCAAACGATTTATAAAATCATTAACCTCTTTCGGCAATCATACTTTGTAATGTGAAATTGTACATTTTAAACCACACACCAAAAAACTGGACAAGTAAAACCTAAACCCAGGAAAAATCTTGAACATGAAGTATAGGTGACGTTAATTACCTAATTTAAACAGTCTTCCATTTCTAGCATAAAATTAGTATCTGCTTTACTGCTGTATGCCAGGAGTTTTCAGATGACAATGAGTATGTTTGCTTCTCTGCCTAGTAAGTATTTCTGGTTATATATTTGCCTTTTTCCTGCATTCTCAGACTCAAACTCAGAACAAATCGTCTCTACCTCAATTTTAAGCTCAGTCTCATCTCCAGAGCCTGCCTACAATAAGAAAGAAGTCTACCCATTCTGATGTAAGAATATAAAGATAAAAATGTAAGATGAACAGGAATGAAGACTAGGGTATTGGTATTTTTTCAGTCAAGACTACTTGTCTAAAAAAAATTGAGTAACCTAAGGAGGCTACGTTTTATTAGGATAAAATAGCAGCTGATTTTTATCACATGTACATGCACAGACACAGATCCACCTGCAGGTGAGTGCCTCCAGTGTGCGTTCCACCAAGCTGGTTCTAACTTGGACTGAATTTCTTCCAAAATTTCTTTTCACTCAATTTCTCCCATTACTAGTTACAAAATAAAAAAGTATGCAAGAAGATAAGCACAACAGCACATTGTCATGGTAGGAATATTTTTGTGAAACAGTTCTCAAAAACTCGATGTTATGTTTTCACTAATTATCTGTAAAGTGCCAGATACATTGTTCCACATACATGTTATTTTTCCAAATCCATTTCTGCAAAAGATTAAAAAAGCGCTGCAATGTGCGAATACGTTCACTTATAGCTTAACTCTAAAATGAGTTTCTTCTGTGTCTTAGGAGACTAAATACTGATCAAATTGTAATTAGTTTTATTAAAGCTACTGAGCATCTTCCCATCCAACATACCCCCTACAGAAATACACTGTGGTATTTCAAATTCTGAATTAAAAATCAACCTGAAAACAAAATTTCATCAAGGAGATTAGGACACTGAAAAACAAAATCTAAATTGAAGTTATTTAAATACTGTCTCTACATCACATATTTCTGACTTCTGTTTGCTTTTCATGTGCTGAAAATCACACAATATGTCCACCAAAGCTTCAAGCCAACAGATTAAGCTAAAGAAAGAAGTGATCATGTCCTTCAGAAAGTGAACGTTGCTTACCTTACATTCACAGGTGTATGTGGATGCCAGTGTGGCTGAGCAGGATGTATATTAGGATGATACTGTGGCTGCAAGTGAAAAGATTGAACCCAGTTAGTTAAATTATATAAAATCTACCTATTAACTCTAACTTTTTATTTTCCTGAGGCCATGAGGAACATGCTCCCTGTGAGCCCTAGAAACCGCACTGTTTCAGACCTTCTCCCACGCCATTTAGTGTATACATGAGACCTCTTGGTGATGAGCTTTCTTGTTAATACACACTCTTGGGAAAATGCAAAGAAAATTGCTTTTCTGTTTGAGAGACAACCTGGCACATCTACTGCTCCTCATAAGAAAGCACATAAAAAGAATGTCAGCTTTAATCAAAGGTGGAGAGTGAGAAAGGTTACTGTTATAATAGCAGACTTCAGGAGGTCACCTATCTTTGGTGACTTATCTTTTGGCATTTCTCTCTCATATCCATAAGATCTTGAGGAGAAACAGTGAAACAAACTCACTAGTGAGGCTTTTAATAAAAACAAGTGTTAAGACTAAGCTCTCATGCACACACTCACTACAGATGAAAGCACAGCTTGCTCTCTCAGTAGCACTGGCCGCTAGTATCATAGGTGAAAACCGGGTAAAGTTTCTCCTTGAAGTGTACAGAGAAGCTTGCTCAATAAACACCCCAACAAACAAACATTCAGACCAGCAATGAACTCCTTAAGTGTTGTGATAGGGAAGATAATTGCAACTTTGAACTTGTTTTTACAGATCATCCAGTGTGAGAGGCTGCTCTAGACAAAAGCTTTGCTCACTGAGCAGTCTCCTGGGGTCCGCCATATTCAGAGTCTCAGGAGTTTTACCCTGTGACTTCAGAGAAAGGAAAGGGAGAAGGGTGGCAAATAGAGCACCTTCAGCTTGCAGAGCATCCAAGAACACAGGGGAAGAAAGAAGAGTCCCTCCACTTTCTATTTAACGCCCAATGTGATGTTTATTTCTGAACCACCTCAGAGAATCTCACCCCAGAGTAAGTAAAGGGTAGCAAACCAGCTGTACTAATTATAGAGAGGAAAAATATTTACCACTAAATAAGAAAATGACAATATTCTCCTCAACAACTGTTATCCTCTTACCTGGTAGTTATGGACTTCGGGAGTTTTTGTAGCACTAAGAGAGAAAAAAAATTACCTTTTATGTAATTAATACATCTATGTCACAGCTTCCTGTAGTTCAGGTTTCTACTCTTCAGGGACATATTACAGTTAAGTAAAATTCATATTCTTAAGGAAATCAATATCTAATTCGAAATATACACTACAGCAATCAGGGTGAAAAAGAGGGGAGAAAATTATTTTTGTTCATTTTACATTTAGGAAACAGGAACAAATAATGTTAGCTAAGTTAACATAACAGCAACAAGCAGAAAGGAAACACGTTTTATTTAGTCTGATCCCAAACACGAAGAGAAAAAAAATTTAAAAATGGAAGCACTTAAAGTTTCACAGGCAGTCTCCAAGAAGAATCTGGTGCTGGATAATGAGAGATCCCAAAGCAATTGATCCCACACCAGAGAATTTGTTTCGACAAATCCTAATGCAGAAACAGTCTTCAGAATCCTATTGGCCTGACAAGAACTGAGAGGTAGAGAGTACTTGGGCTGTCACTTACCACAGTTGTGCGGCTTTCACAGGATTGTTTGCTTAAAAAGAAATAAACAAAAAACCTTAAGGCAGCTGAAAAAAAACCTTAAGACATGTGAAACATCAGTTATTTTGCAGCTATTGTGACTGGGATGTTACACTACATGTTACAGACACATTTGCACAAAAGCCTCAGAACTGCAAGTGCAGCCCCGTGCTTTCCAGCATTCCCCTGTAAGTACATTGAGTATGAAGCAGACACAAACCTCCCTCATTTCTGCAAGAGTCAAAGCCCATTAAAGATGACAGCAGACACCAGCATTCTTCCCAAACATCATAAGGATTTTTGGCAGAGTGAGTTCTGCACAACCACAACATGGCTGTTCTCGCCTTGCTGTAGCTATCATGTCAATGCCATCGAGTCCCTTGGAAATCAGGGGCTACCCCTCACAGCAGTTTTGTATCTCACAGAAAATAGAGTTTTCCTGAAGTTAGTAATGGCCTGTGTCTTATTACAGTGAACAATGGTAGCCAAGAAAGCCCATCAGATGGGAATATGGAACCAAGTAATCTTGAGGAACAAGGTCTTGGCTTGTGCTTTGGACAGGCTGGAAAGAACAGCGAAGAAGGCAACCGAATAACTGGGATGTATCATTTCTTTTACCTGACAAACAGCGTATTTTTCAAGAGTGTTGAAAAACTGCTGAGTGATACAGCTAAATATCCAAGTGTCTGCTGAATTCAGAAAACGTATGACAAACTTAATGAGACACTGTAGAAGTCTCAAAGAGACTGAGCTAGGACAGAATCCAACCCTTGTGGGCTGCAACTAGGTACAGGTCTCAATGGCCAAGAGATGTGTGAACGACAATAACCTAAGGGGAGTTTTTGTACTAACTTAACAAGTGTGCTGTTGAGCTCTCTGGAGGGAGATCACCTGGCTATGACAGCAATTGTGCCTGGCTGCTGTGCAGAGAGAGCTAAACTGAACACCAGCCATGCTTTCTCTCCTCTTCCTGTATCTCACAGCACAGGCACACTGAGACACAAGGTACAATATACAAGTCTGACAGATCCTGTTATTGTAAAAATAAAATGAAAAGAAACTATTTTTCCACTTATGAAATCACCCCCGGTTACCATATAGCTGATTCTCACGTATCACATAACAGTATTTCACAAATTTAATAAATTTGCATTTCTGCAAAAACCTGACATATCCCCAGGAGGGTGGCAGAGGGGGTGTTACAGCCTCTAGGAAGCACGCATACTTGCTGGCCTCTCCCCCTCACTGTACATGAGAAATAAAAATGCCCCCATAATATCAACAGGACTTTTCATGGAACTGAGATTCTTATTCTTGGAATGCAAAGGAGTGTGAAGACATCCTAAGGGAACCTCAGCTCACCCTGCTCCATACAGCAACTACACCGACAGCCTCAAGTAATACAGAATTTAGAGGGGGTTGCCTTGCAGTGCTCCCTCCTAGGCTTTTCTATAAGGGATACAAATCTTAGCTTAAGTTTTGAAGGACATATGACCAAACCAAAGGGGAAATCAATTCCTTGTCATTCCACTCAAATTCAGCACATCAACTCGCAGAGAAAGCTCGTTAAGGTCAGAGCCTGGACAGGTGAATAACATGCCATTACAGTCAGCAAAGCAGCAGCAACTGCATAATGAGACTGCTCAATAACTCTAAAACTGTCTGGCCACATTAGCAAGTCAGTGAGGCTTTTGGACACTGCTCCACTCTACATGAAAAATGCACTTTTTCAGAGAAAATGTTACATGCTTTCCCTCACTGAGTCTGATGCAACTTTTCTTCCCTCCTCAAAGGAGCAACAAACCAAACCATAGGTACGTTCTTCCCCATAGACAGGCGATGGAAGGACTAAGTGAACCTAGACATTAAAAACAGCAGATACGAACAACAGACTCTGACTCTGGAGGAAAAAAAAACCACCCACAAACATTCTGATTTTTAGGTGGTCTGACATGTTTTTCTTTTTACGCCGTGGTACAGATTTTATGGTGGTAATGTGACATTTATATGAGTTAACAGGACACCTGCATGACTGGTTCAGTTAACACACGTACAAACACTTACCCTTATAAGTTGAATGCCTTCGAGAAGGATACCGTTTGCTGGGCCTTCTTTCAAATGTACTCGTTCTACGCAATCTTGTCCCATGTGTTGCTTGATATTCTGTCCGCCCACTTAAAATACACAAGTGAACAAAGTTAACTACTGCCTTTTGCTGGACGCTGTACCTCCTCCTTTGCATAAACACAAATATATTACTGGTACTTTGCTAAATACCTGAATCTGAAGCGTGATCCCAGCCTTATGAAGTCGGATCTACTAGATTTACTATTTGCTGGGGCTCGCAATCTGAAGAAAGCATGGTGCTCCACTGCACACTTCCACAAGTGTTTGCACGTTTTGGCACTGTCTAACCGGAAAACAAATGTGTGCTCTTGCTCTCTGCCCTAAATGCAGAAACAAAAGCTTTGGAAGTTGGCATGCATGATATTAGTTACTGTCCTTGGTCGGAGAAATACAGCCTGGGCCAACAATGTGCTCGGCCTCCCTTGTGTTCTTACCAGCCTGAGCACACACCACAATTTGTTGGATCAGGCCCAAGTAAGGGAAGAAAGTTACCTGTTCATCATCTTCTACAACCACAAGTGTTAGTTTGCTCTTTTTAAAGTCCATTTTTGTGATTTTAGGCCTAAATACAAGAAGCGAAAAGAAAATTAAAGGCAAATTAGTTCTCTTAATCTAGAAGAATCCTCCAAAATGTATGAGTGATCTGCAACCCTGGAACACTTCAGAAACATCACAACAGAAGTATGATTTCCTGGAAATGTGACTATTTTTCAACAAATCTTTCACATTTGAGAGTGGTACTTCTAACCAGGCCAATTTACCTTCAGATTTAACCTTGATGATAGAATCATAGAATTGTTTGGCTTGGAAGGGATCTTTAAAGGTCACCTAGTCCAACCTTCCTTGCAATGAGCAAGGACATCTTCAATTAGATCAGGTTGCTCAGAGACCCGTCCAACCCGACCTTGAATGTTTCCAGGGATGGGGCATCTACAACCTCTCTGGGCAACCTGTTTCAGTGTTTCACCATCCTCATTGTAAATTTTTTTTTAATCTAATCTAATTCTACCCTCTTTCAGTTTAAAACCATCACCCTTTGTCCTATTGCTACAGGCTCTGCTAAAAAGTCTGTCTGCACCTCTCTGAAGCCCCCTTTAAGCACTGAAAGGCCACAATAATGTCTCCCTGGAGCCTTCCCTTCTCCAGGCTGAACAACCCCAACTCTCTCAGCCTGTCTTCATAGGAAATTGATATTTTAACTTTGTGGATTCAACCTACATTACAAAATATAGTCAAGATGCCATTATATAAAGGAGAATGATTCCAGCATTTTAACAGAAAGGAATATAACACAAAAACAAATTACCAAAAGAATAAGCCTATTTTGTTGGCTCCTTCAAAAATCAATATGCCTGTTGGTGTCAGTCCAAGAGCATATTCACAACCATCTCTTCCCTGCAAGCAAGTGCAGAATCAATGATCAATATGTCATTAGTAGTATAAATCTTAATACTGTAGTATGTCAAAATCCATAGGTTTTAAACTAAACAATAAGATTTGCACATTTTTTTTTAACATTGCAGAGCAAACGTATATGCATCTGTATTGGGTGCACCCCATCAGGTTTTGGCAACAGGGGGCTGCAGGCGGCCCTGTGTGGGAGGAGGCTTTGTTCTGCTCCAGATGGCTCTGATGCCCATGGAAACAGCCCCACACCAAGACTGCAGCCAGGGGAGCCCACACCTCGGCTCACACGTGTTTAAGAGCAAGCATGAGCCGCCAGGGGAAGGAGATACAAAAGGAAAAATGCAAGGGATGTGGGAAAGATGTGGAAAGGGATGCTGTGGGGGACATGGCTGGGGACGCACTCTTGAGAGGAACCTCTCCTTGCCAGAGACCACAGCCCAGGGGTGACCCACAGCACAACAAGGACACACCTGAGGGACTGACCCACACCAGGGCAGGGACAGCCCTCAGGGACCACAGCCCGCAGAGAGCCTATACCAGGGCAGGGATGTCCCTGAGGGACAGTGTCCCGTGGGTGACCCATGCAGCAGCAGGGCAGCAGGAAAAGCACAGCTCAGCAGAGGAAAACCAGGAAGCAGCACAAAGTGTTGCGCAGATGACCCCAACCTTGTAGGCTGCCTGGGGAGGAACTGAGCATAACCCACAGGGAAAACAAGGGGAGCTGACACCAGGGTGAGGGGAGGAGAGGTTATGACTGAAGCTGAGATGGGGAAGGGGGGAAGAAAGGTGTTTCTGTATTTGTTTTGTTTCTTTTTTTTTCTTTCTTTTTTTTTCCTGGACAATTCCCAAATCATTACTTAAACATTTATGTTAATTGGCAGTATATTAAGTTAAGTGAAATACCCCAAGGCGAGACTGTTTTGCCGGAGACAGCATCTCCATTCAATGTTCTGACCCCACACTCATAAAATAAAGTATAACATGGATCTTACCTTAACTACATGCATATCTACACCATACATTTCTAGCCATTTAGCTTTGTTCAAGTAGCACAATTCGGCCTGCGCTGGGCTCTTTCCCCTGAGAACATAAAATTTATTTATACTTTACAGTAGGAAATTTTTGTCCATTTTAAATGTGTTAAAATTTGTTCCCCTAATCCTTTTCTTTGGGCCCTCAATCTTGAAGACACTAAATGGTATTTCAAGCTTAGCCTATGTTTTTACCCTATTCCCTTCAAATGAAAAAAAATAGGAGGGACAAAAACTGGAAAAGCTCTAATATTGCCAAGAAGGACGAAAGTTGAGGTAAGACAGCATCACCAAAATGTACTGTATTTATTAATGAAAGACAGCAAAAATCTATTGCTATTACCCTAAACGCAAAAATTTATGTGTGCATGCATCAAAGAAAGAAAGAGAATTGTTTCCAACTCAAACAGAAAAAAAGATCAGACTGCTTAAATTGTTATGAAATCACCCAAAGAAAAACAAACAAAAAAAGAAAAACTCACCCTACCAACCTTCCCTAAATTACCACTTGCCATTTCTAAGGAGGGGGACTGCTCAAATTCTGTCCAGGATACTTCCCAATGGATAAACTCAATCGCCATTTTAAGTCTGCTGAAGGGGTTCTCGTGGACATATTTGGCTTTGGAAGAGCAGAAAACCTCCTGTTGCTAGAGACACCGCTCCCACACAGGTCCCCTACCTGCACTCTTTCCATTTCTGAAAAATGTCAAATTCCATTGCTTCGGTCTGGTTTGGTGCAAACCTGAATTCAGACACGAGTTCTGGTGTGTGCTCTGGGTGCTCACACTCTCCCAGCTCAGCTGCAATCAATCAGTTGAAAAGTTAAAATCATAAAGATCACAGGATAACCAGAAACATTTAATTCCATAATCTCCACAAATACAATGATAGTTTATAAGTTTCTAAGTATGTTGTAAAAGAATATACTTGTACTGACATCATAATTAAAAAAAATACCCACAAACTCAAGATTGTACAGCAGAAGTCAGACAAATGCATTTGCAGGAGCAGCATAAGGTTATGGTACAGATTTCTGACATTTAAGAATGTTAGAACTAAACCAGCTTAACTAAAGCCGCTTCTCTGGATTTTAAAGCATTTAAAGGAAATAAAGTTTCTATTAAAACCAAAAAGATCAATGCACTATTGTTTCAGAAGAGGTTACTTTGAAACTTCCTTTCATTGCAACGAGGTCATACTTTTCATTCCAAAACACATCCCATTCTATCGCATGCCTTTTTACATTACTGTCCATGCATAAACATGGAAGATAAAACCTAGTCTCAAGAAGCCAGTGATAAAAGCGGTGGGGGTTTGGTGTTTGTTTTTTTTTTAAAAAAACAAAACAATAACCCACAGTGGTGGTGTAATATTCAGATTAAGTAATTTTTAAGAAAAGAAATGCTGAAGTATTAACGTAATTGAGGTGCCACTTTCTACTTATCTACTTAGGGCCTGGTATCTTCTTTTCTAGGAGCAGAACACCTTCAAACCCTACTGAGCTCAGCGGGAGATGGAAGCACTGAGCATCTCAGTGATTTACGCCCTTAACTGCCTCGTGGCTGCGACACGCTGTGCTCCTCGAGCCCCTCAGCTGTACAAAGGGGCTGCCGTGTCCCTGCCACCAGACCACGAGACAATCAGCAGCGGCAAATAAACCATTCAGCAACACCATGCGCCACCCGACACGATGCTATTTCCAAACCAGCCCTTTGTCAGTCTGTTTCTCTTGATGACTACTGCTATTACTACTAGAACTAATACTACAAAAAAGCATAGAGAGAAATAAATACCCTTGAAGAAAACAATTTTATTGCTCCAGGGCACTTTTACACGCAACAGTTGCAAAAGTTTAATTTGCTCTCAGTCTTCCTAGCAGGATACATTAGAACACAAGAAGTTACATCTAAAATGCAATCTGTTGGCTGATACACTTAACTAAGTGGTTTTGAGCACTTGAGCTTCACTCCAACGTTCATCGTTCCTGAGGACACCGAATAGATTGAGTTCCCTGATGTTAATTTCTAACTACTGCCTCACGTTTTTTTCTCTTCAACAGTGATCTTCCATGGTGAGTTACAGTATTCTTATCTATATGTCTTTAACAGAGATAGCTCAGCTCTGCTGCTGTTTCATCTAAGTTGGAAGTCTATTTAACGCAGATGTTGCTAAGGATTACTGGCAGTCCAGTCTCCAGTACGTGAGAGGGAGCCACAACAAACACATTAGCAAGGAGGACTCCAGGGAAAAAGAAAAAAATGTAAGAAACTGAAGTTGGATGTGTTGACAACCGTCTAGGAAAAACATGGGAGATTTCTCTACTAGTTAACGGAGAGAGAAGGCGGGGAATGAAGGCTGACTGTGCTGTAAAGAGGATGTGTAAGGAGGAGAAGAATCGTGAGTGTGTGGGACAAGAGATCTCTAAAGGGAAGTTAGGGCAGAAGTACTAGATACAAGAAAAATATCACCCTGGTTTCTCAATAGCTGCACTCACTATTCATTCATTTTCAGGCACACAAACGATGCCATTATTTTGACCTCTAAGAAATAGGTCTTGAGAATAAAAGCCAGTACAAGGCTCATCAGCTCCCTGCACAGGACAGGGGGCAGTGGAAGAAGAGGGAAGTGCGAGCTCCGTAGAACGACGCTCTCACTAGTGCCCTTCCTGGTGGAATTACGTTCCCTTGGTGGCTCAGCAGCATTAATATTTTTCAACAGAAGGGCACAGCAGAGAACCCATCTCTTCATTTGTGGTTTTATGACAAAAGCATCATGCTTTGGCATGCCCCTCCTCCAGCCTTTTTTGGTTTTTGTTTTAAGGAAGGGAAAGTGTTACATAACATTTATATACATTACCTGTGTTTTTAAAAATAACTGCATAAAATGGAGGACCTTTTTAAAACGAATTTCCCTAGAGAAAACATGTTTATCCACAAATACAGATTCTTCTACACAGAAGAGAAAAAAACCTGCTTGCACTACCTCGTGAAGATGTCTTATGATTAGAACTGACGACTCGGAATCTGAGAAAAAGTTTTCCTTTCAAGTTCAATTAGCAGTTTCAAAAGCATACCTGGTTAAATACGAAAGCCACACAAGACTAATGAGGTAGTTAAAAACTTATTCTAGCAGTGACAATTCAAGTTTGATTATGGCATTTCTCTAGATAATCCTTAAGTGAAGTGAAGCGTGTGATTACGTATCTGCTTCACATACTGCAGATCAATGTTATTTGCTACAGAAGTTCCTTCATGGGACTGGCAACAAACCAACAATTTCTGTTTGAAATATGATTAACACAAAACAACAGCCTTGGAAACTGTTGTTTGAAAGAAAGAATTCCCGCAACAGAACAACTTCCTTGATAAATAAGACACATGAAGTTTAAAGCTGTCCTGTAAAGGGAAAAGGCCTTTCAGAGGGTTAGAGCATCAGCTCCTAAACAGCCTTTTATACCTTCTTCCTCACTCTTAGGAAAGCAACACTAAGGAGCAAGATTGGATTTCATGGAGTACATGTAGTGTACTGAGGAGGGAATAATAATTTGACGTTTCTTTAACTCTTCATCATTAAAAGCTTCCAATGTCAATAACATGTAAGAAATGTTATAAAAATGCTAATTATAGCATATGCCAGCAGACATAAATAAATTAATTGCAATAATGAAATAATTTTGGAGAAACTTATTGCAATGATATCGAAATAGCAGAAAACTGAAAAAAAGACAGCAGAAAAATATGCAAATGTCACCACAATTTAAATATGTTACCACAAACAACATCAAGAAGTGTTAGTTTTGTCCCTAGTTGGGGACATTATAAACATGAAGGATGGCTATTGCATTATATTTACATAGTAATCACAGGTGTCAGTTACTACCCAAAATGTTGAGGCATCAACATATTATTCTTTGCTTGCTTCTCCTTGCTTAGACCAGGGGTGAGGGACCGTTGTTTTTATCTGTGAAAATGGAAGTAATGAATCAAATAGGGGCTCCAGATTTCCTCCATCTCAAGAAGGCAAGCAGAGTTTGCCTGCAGCAGTTCTTTGCACACCTAATAATCAGAGCTGTGCCAGACTGGTGCAAATGAAAACTGAGAAATAACTCACTGACTTCAGATTTATACCTGTTGCTGTTTGGAACTGAAATTCCAGTTCTGACTGTCAAGTCCACCTATAATCACTGAGTTATCTCCATTCCTGTATTAAACTAAGAGACTCTGCCTGAGGACTCCACATGCCATTGCCAACCACCAGCAGAACAGGAAGAGCAGTTCTCTTTTCGCTTCATTTTGCTGCTGCTATGCCTAGAATGGTCCAGATCACTGCACTTTCTTTTAGAAAAAAATAAACTTGATTTGCGCTTCATTAGTCAAGTTTCCTTCCCATCTACAAAACAAACCACCTGAAATGGAACAAATATTTGTATTAATGTGTACGTGGTAATAAAAAAAAGCAACAAACTTTTTTCTATAATGAACTAATGAAACAGTGTTCTGTTTTTTTTTTAAAATCTTGTAACCCTTGCTCCTGACACTGAAGTAATCTTAGTTCCTACCTTTCCATATAATTCCCTCCTCTCCAGCACTTGCCATCCTTTCCCTCCTGCCCTGTAGCCACCTCCTGTGTCACACACCCTGGAGGTTTGCTCTCCCAGGCACTGGGCCAGGCAGGAGGTACCCCATGCTCAAAACTACATCCGCAGAGACCTGCCTGCCACAAAGCCTGTGCTGAAGGGCCAGCTGGTTCTTCAGGCTAAATAGGTAACACTGTGCACACACCACCGCTTCTCCCTCAGTGAGGAACTATTTGGGATCTTTCTTCTCCGGTTAGCCTCTGGTTTCCATGAAAGCTTTGTCCATCCATGCCTCTGAGGCTCCTTCCCCTTGGCAAGCGTGCTGATGTTGGCTAACGTAGTTCAGAAGATATGAATGGAGGGAAGACAGGAAAGTGATTTCCCTAAAATTCTTCTCCTCAGGTAAAGAAAAGCCATTTATATAGGATCAAAGAGAAATTATTAGTATCAAAGAGTGAAAAGAAACTAGTAGGCGAGTTTTTAAATACATTAAGACAAAACACTTCGAAAAAATTGCATACCTTGAAGACACAGAGCTGCTAGTTCAACAGCAGTTTCATACGGGCATTTCAGTCTTAAAAAGAAAAAAACCTCAAGCTATAAAAATCACGTCTCTTTCTCAGTGAGTTCCTCTTGCAATAAAGCTAGGTAGCAGTCTGATATAAGAAATGGAAGCATTAACTTCCACAAGCTATTAATGATATATAATGAAACATCTACAATTAATTTTTACTTGCATATGGTTATTTCCTAATTAGCACTAAACACACGATACGCTCCACCATAAAACAAGCTTGAACTAATAGAGACAACATTAAATTGACTATGAAACCATTTTTTCTCCAACACTGTATTTTAGAACATGTAGTTTTGAGGTTTCTTGGATTTGTAATAAAAAAAAATAAAATAACAAAGTGGATATGAATATACATTCATATAAACACAAAATATTTTTGCAGAGTTGAAATGTACAGGAAGTGTGGTACTTCAACTTTTTCTCCTCTTTTACCTACTGTACTGAAAAATATGACAAGCTCATGTTACATTTTCAAGTCAAAAAAATCAGGACAGTCTTTGCTATCTCTATATGTTTCCATCACCTGTCAATCCAACAAAGGTCTTTACCTATTCTATTTGTCAATAATATAGTCATTTTGCACACAAAGCTATATATCTCTCTATTCTGAAGGAAAAAAATGCACACGTAACTGTAAGTTATATTTATAATCTGTGCACAAATACCATAAAGTATTAAAACAATCATGCACTCAAAGTAAAATTTTAACACACTAAGAGACTAACTATTATAAATACTTTAAATTATAGCTGCAAGAGCAAAGAGGTACTTACTTCCCTGAAAGAATATCTTGCCGGAGCTGTAATACAAACAGGTACCTGACAAATAAAAATTCAGAAAGTTAAAAGTATACATAAAGCAATTTTTCTAGTCCCAACAGCTAGAAAAATATTCCAATTCATTAAGTAGCTACAACATTTTCTTAACTTGCTCTTCAAAAAAAGGGCATTTGGGATCACTTGGATACACCCTGCAACCTTCAAAGTTCCAACAGCTTTCACTGAAACCAAAGAGAGAACATTTTTTACCTTCTGGCTGCGTTCAGAACACTGTTCAAAGTCTTGCTGCTTTGCTCTACTCTGAGCATACACCACAGCAACCTAAGTGTTACTGACACTCCAGTGCTCCCCTGAACCGGGTCTAGCCCAATTAAAGCAAGAATTGAACTATAAGATCTAGAGACAAAACGCAGATAAAGGCATGAAGACTTCCAGGTTACCTTCTCAAACACAAATACAGCACGTGGATAAAGTCCAAACTGGGCAAAAAGAAAAATTCAGACTAAACTTTAATTTAAACTAGCAGAAAAGTTCTGAATAAAAGAAACCAAATAATTCCATAGACCCCACACATTTATTTAGGAGGCCAAGAAGGAATTTACAACCTTCAAACTGCAGTAGTATTTTAAGCTCTTGCTAATCTTCATTTCTAGGCATCCTTCATGTTTTACAGGCACTCAGAACTGAGGTTTGAGGCACGCAGAGGTGCCCCAGGCCACACAAGAGCTCTGTAGAGGAGAGGATGGCAGAGGCAGGCTCTGTGCTGCTCTGGACACTGCAGGGTGAGGCTTTGCAATAACAAGTGACTCCAGAGAAAAGAGCACGAAGCACTGCTGAGTGTCAATCCAGTAAACACCAATGTAAACCCCTCCTGTCTTTACAAAGGATGCTGGAAAGATGAAGTGTCTTCTATCACAGAGGGTGTGCTGCGAACGTGGGGAAGGATGAATAGTTGGAATCAGACAGGAAAACAGAAATGGAAAGGAAGATTAAGAAGACTTCTCATGATACAGTGAAGCAGACTCAGGTCTATCCACGTTAGCTCTGTGTCACATCTCTGATTCACGTACTTGGCTAATACCTGAATTGCCAATCAAACCTGGGTATTTGCGTGCATAGATTAAGGTTAGACAAGTATATTTCCTGTTCTTATTGTTTTCCCCTGATGATTCACAATCCCATGAACTCTTCTAAATTTGCAAGAAAAACCTGGGCAATGTTTCTGTCGGTGTCAGCTGGCCCGTGCAGTGCTGCAGCTCTGCTCTGCTTGGCGTGCCTTACTCTTCCTCCTTTTCTGCACGTAGACTGACAAGCATCGGCATCTCAACTGTCGATATTCCTCAAATCAGCAAAATACCTTAGAAAACTCTTCACAACTCACATGTAGTGACACGTTACTCTGTTGTTTTTCTAACTAATCAGTCCCATAAAAATGAGAGAAGATATCTTCCAAAATGCACAGGATTTCAACTGTGTTGTTAAATTGGAAAAAGACAGCAGGTGAAGGGTTTCAACACTTCCCCATTACTGTGCCAATTATGAGAATCTGATGTTTACAGCTTCACTAAAAACCTGAGTAACAGAAAACAGGTCTCTATAAGGAATTTTGAATATCCCCCCTCCCCAACCAGGCCAGCTCATGGATATTATTAACGATCATATTTCTTCCTCCTCTCACTCCCATTCTATTTCCACTTGGAATAATTCTGAGTATATAGTTGCTAATCTTTACTTTTTACTCAACATCCTACATGGAAAGTATAATCCAGCCCACAAAGATTCTTAAAAACCCAGCAACATTCAAAATTACTTTCCCCAACAAAAAAGAAAAATGCAACTATTTGTTCACTGTAAAATCAATTTCCAGCTCATTTTAATTTTCCTTCCATAGTTTCACAATGGTCTTCTGTCAAGCTTATAATTAAAAAAAAATTGTTCATAACACTGAAAATTTAGCTGACTAAAGTGGTTTTCCAATTAAAATAGTCTTCTGAAATGCCACCTTTCAGCAATAATTAGATCACAAAGCATCAGAGGTTAATACTTTCTGAGGAAATGTCTTACTCGATCACAGCAATGATCACATAGTTCAGAAACACACGTCTCTCAGAGACTAGGATCGTATGCTTCAGAGGATGAAATCTTGTGGCAGACAGTAATGGAATAATTTGACCCCAGGGGAAATGTAATACTTGTCAGACGTGCACTCTGATGTATGAAGACTTACATTGATTTTCAGAAAATATATACTATTCCTACTAATTTAACTGCATTTTCTCACTAATTTAACTGCATTTTCTCACTAGAGATACCCCCAAATCATCCAGGTTTTTGGATTCTCTACGATCTTGTACACAATTACAAAAGCGTCAGGGAGTTCTATAAGTTAATTATACATTGTATAGGAATATGCCCTTTTATTGAATTAACACTGCTGCACTAAATTCATAATGGATGTTAAAGCCTCCATGTCAGTCTCATAAAGTGGTGAGAATTAACTCTTTGATTATCGAAGGTAATGAAAAAAAAAAGTACATAGTCAACACAGCAGATAGGAAAGGAGAAAGTAAACATATGCCTGCAGGCGTAAGTTTAACATAAACATCACATGCACATGAACTGCAACAATCTTTAAACACCTTAGGCTGATTGGGAGTGCACTGATTGTTGTCAAGCAAATTAGAAGACATAGAAAATGCCCTACAGTAAGAAACAGAACAACAACAAAAAAGATAAAATAACATTAAGGTAGATGATTACTATACAAAGAAGACACAAAGTTAGTAGATACATAAGGTAAGCAAATGCTTTTCCTGTAGCTGCTCCTTTCCCAGTTTTCAGAATAACCTCTAGATCACACTAGGGTGCTACAAACCTCCAGCAAGGTTCCTCATAACCCAGAAAACAGCCCACCAGACTGAAAGAAAAGCCCTCCAGGTATCCTAAGGTGACTTTATATGCCATCTTTACACCTTTTCCACCACAGAGAACTTGTGGGGAAAGGAAAGAGATTCAATCAACCAACTGGTAACCAAGAACTCAAGCTGTCTATTCCCACAATTCTGTAGCTTTTGTACCATTATTAAATCACCCTCAAATCTCAGCAGAGCATTGGCATTTTAGCGGGATACGATGGAAAATCCTCCCAGAGGTATGGCACGTGTCACTGGTGTGAAGAGCAGTTGTCTCCCAGCTGCAGCTCTTCCCACCCAACACTGTCTGTCTTTGCCAACTTCAAGGCACAAGAACACAGCGCCTCCTACAGACTAAAACACTTGGACAGGGCCATGAATGTTTTTTGGCAGCAAATAAAAAAGATTGTTTCTCTGACAGTAGAAAAACACCTAAGAAGTCAGACAAAATGGCCACTCTTAGTAAGAAAGCTCAAATCCCCTGCTTCCAGTACCACCATGTACCTTAAATGTCTTATTTTGCCCTTTGCCAGTCACCCAGTTAACCATACGTAGTTCCTACCTTGTAAACTCCTCATGAAGGTTGTTCGGTTCTGATGAATAGTACTTAATTCGAAAATGCAACGTGTACGGAGGTCCAACTGTATATGCAGAGATTTTAAATGGGGAAAAAAAGTTTACACTCATTGCGGTTCTCCTAAGGCAGAACAACAGCCACCACCTCACAACCCAAGAAACCCAAAATGAAGCATGTTTTTCAAATTCTTCAAGGCAGCAAATATTTCATATTTTTAAATTTAAAATGCATGCAATACAAAAAAAGTTAGACGATTATCATACTTTATCATACTCTAATCATTGCATTAATCAAGCAACAATCCATTTGGCAAACATATTTTTGTTCAAAGATGTGTGTCCAGCAGCATGCTGTGAATGGCAACAAGTTCTAGGTATGCTGCCTGTTACTGGGGGCAGGGGGAGTTAGATGGGAGAGGGAGATGCTTCTTGTTACCAGGCACAAATACAAATCAAAAAAACTCCCCACCCAACAGATCAGCTTTTGGCTGGTATACACGAATGAGAAATTGTAAGATAAATAAGGTGAAAAGTGCTGGACAGGATTCACCCTTGAACACAGAAAGCTAACAAATTCCACAAAGTGGAGTTGCAAGAATTGTTCTTTTCTGTTATCAGAAGACAAATGCTAGGTCTGACTTCCTATGTACCACAGATAATAAAACATTACCCAGCTTCCATGAAACTCTGACCAATGCATCCTTATCTGCCTAAGCCTCATCTTGCAGACCAACAGCCTGCTGGCATACTATGTGCTGGAAAAATGACTCTCTTTCACACCTTTCTAAGGTCTTCTGTAACACCACAGCAACACAGTATATATGTGTCTATTAATGCTCCGTTCTACTAAACGACGTGCAGCCAAAACTCCAATAATTAGAGCTTTGATGTTGTCTCCAAGGACAGCTCCTGGCAGACAGGTTACAGTACCCTAGGCTGACAGTAAAGCACCACTGGTAAGGTCTCATCCATGAGATAACGACTCTTACCTGCCCACTGCTGGGAAAAAAAAAAGAGCAGTGAGCAACATCCATCATGGAAGAGCAACTCTTCTCAAAACACCCACTGAATGCAAGGTAAAGAAAAGTATCCTGTTGTGAGACGGATCTTTAAAACAGTTATCAAATTGCTTCCCTCTTCAGCATTCCTCAGGGCAGGGCTTGGCCAATTTCTTTTTAAAATAGGCCCTTCACAGATTAAACACAGACAAAACAGTGCAACTAAGCTGGCTGAAGGTGTTACAGAATCGCTGATTTTCCACATTTTAAGACAGAACAAGAAAAGGAAAGGGCACCTGCAAATCACTTAGCTATTTCAGGTTAAGCAGTCTGGGATGTGATGAAAAGGTGAAGAGAAAGCCAGCCACCAAAACTTTACCCATAGCAGCTATCTTTACCATCTACTCTCGCAGACTGACCCCCATGCACCACAGGGTGAACTAAAGGCCTTTGAAAAATAACTCCACCATTTACAAAAATCATCCAGACATTTGGATACTTCTCAGAAAGGCAAAGCACCAGTTTGGAAGCCATCAAGGCCCAATTCTGTGTCATCCTCCAAGGGGGAGGAAAATTTCCTTGCCAGTCCCTGGACTTTAATCTCACAGAAGTGATATTATCAGTTGGCCTCTGGCTGTTGTCAACTGCAGTATATTAACAAATCATGTTAGTGCCGATGCTATACTGTATCCAAGCCTGCAACCAGATTATTAGAAAGCCAGGAGCAACTTGACTGCCTTAGAGAATTTACACAAACAAATGAGTGGCTGAGCCCAACCCCTCCACCCAAAACTCCTTTTGATGAAACAGCAGGTGTTGCTGCTAGTTTTATTTATTAAAAAAGAGGTTAACTGTTACACAATGAAATATTTTCCATTTACTCTTTGAAAAAAACCCCACAAAATCTGTTCTGGATCAGAAGCAGTGACAGAAACTGTGATCTGTGTCCAGGCAACCTGATTTCACAGATCAGACTGAAACTACCTGGCAACCTGCTCTGCTTCAGACAAACAGCACAGATTTAACGAGGGCTCCTGAAGGCTCGTCTATTGCTTATAAGTGCTCTTGCATTTAGACATGATATAGTCAGCCAATTAGTTGGATAAATAATGAATAAATATTTATTCCATTAAAGGCTGTATTTAAACATTCGCACTCAAGTTCAAATACTCTAAGTTCAAATTCTCAAGGAAGTAACAAAATAAACAGGCAGAGACGTGTTACTTACTTTTTATTTGCTTCTTAATGAATTTTGAATGGTCCAACCAGTGCTAAAAAAAGAAAATCCACATTTAAAAGCAGTTTCATTTCAAGCTTTTGTTGACATAATAAACTAATTACACTAAAATTTAACAGATAAAAATCTTTTAAAATGAAATACTGCCATATTCATTTGCTAAAGTTACACACATTTGCAGAAGTGTTTATTTGTGTATTTACCAACTTATCTTCTTTCATGGGGGAAAGCTTGACTTATAAATGCATCAGCACTGCCAGGGAAGTTTCACTTGTCCAGAGACAAGACCCCAAAATCCAAAGCCACAAAGTAGCAGCATGTAAGGACAATACCCTACAATATCCCCCCAGGTTTAACTGGTGCCCAAGTGCACCTGAGGACAGCAGGCCAAACCCCTGGGCTTCGTTCTCCTTTCAACTCCCCTGTTTGATGAAGACCCTCCAGATGCTGTACTGTCCTGCCTTCCATTGCTCCATAGCCAAGTTTTTTCATGATAAGGATGAAAACTTAATGCCCAGTAAAAGCATTTGGGAAACAACGATGTATATGCCCCCCTTCCTCCTCCTTTTTTTAAACTAACAGCAAAAGATCTTGAAAAGATGCAATTATGATAAAAAAGTATGCTTCCCAGCAAAGTTCATGCACTCTCTCATCACAGCAAGTTGCATCCACAGAAGATTAGCAATAAACACCCTGATGTAAATTTAGCTTAGATCTTTGACACTGTGCAATGTCCTGCACAAGGCTGCAATCTGACTTGAAGCAACCCCATGTAAACACTCCAGTCACACAAGGCAATAAAACAGTATTTGGACTTCCTTGAAATAAATGTTTATCTTTATGTATATATGTTTATTTTAAAATAATAAACCAGATACTATGGAACAAAATCTTAGGAGGAAAAAACCCTCTTCCTTCCTTCCTATTAAAGTATTCATGCTTTCAGAAAAGGAGAATCTTTGAATTAGTATTTATCATTCCACTAACACCACACTACTGTGGCTAAATAAATGTGAAAAATTATTTGTTGGATAGTAATGCTGGTATTTATTTACTAAGTATGTCCTAAGCCAAGGCAAAAATTTATTTATCATAGGCATAGAAGGGTATAGATTCAAAGTCTGACAACTCACAACCCTTGAGGTAAATAAATCTCACACTAAAAAGGAGAGAGAGAGAAATGAAACAATTATTCTGAAGGTGCTTGTATTTGCATGAGACTTGCTAGGCTCCCTTAGGTGAGGCTGCCAAGGAAACCATCCTTACAATCTGAGAAATAACTACCAGAGTGGAAATAAAACATTACAACAGTTCATACAAATACTTTCCTTAGAGTTGCAAGTAATTTATTTTGTCTCTGCATTGTTCTCCTATGAAGAATTATAACAGAAACCAGAGCAGTTCACAGAAGCTTTGTGAAATTTCAAATTTTTGATAAGGAAAAAATATCAACATTGAAACTTTCCTTTTTTTAACTGAAATCATACAAATCTATTACTTTCACAGCACAATAGCAGATTAACTTTTTATGCTTCAAGTATCTAGCTACAAAAATACCTTTCTCCTCAATATTTGCTTTGGCTAAAGATAAACCACTCACAAAGACAAATACACTGATTCCATTAAAAGAAAAGTTTAGCTTCATGTTAAATGAAACCAAACATGAATAACATTTATACTATGGGCAAAAATCCTAAAATAACTTTTCATCCGTTGTTCACATTAGTACCATGTTCAGAAATAAGCACCACACAACCTGCACTACAATAATTCCCAATGAATTAACAACTGATAGTTCCAACTTGGAATGTGGCGTTCTAGGTGTATTAAAACTCAAATAACAGCAAGTTTCAAACCGATTATTCATAAGTGTAAATACCTCAAAGAAGGTTTAAAAATAACTAACAAGACTCTAAGAACTATTTGCGCAGACCATTAAATGAGCCTATAGCCTAGACAGGAAACTATCACTCACTCTCCATACCCAAGCAGCCAGAGGCAGACTGCTCCAGGAGATAAAACACAGCAAGCATGAAGCTCATCTCTCTTCAGAAGCACAAATGAGCTGACGTTTTACCCCAATCCCACATGGCACATCATTGGCTGTGTGTGATGGGGCCACCACACAGATCACAAAATAAAAACAGGGAGGCAAGACATGGACTGGCAGTATTATTGACCCAGAGTTCTCAGGCCTGGCAGTTTTCATCCAGATTTGTGAACTGACACCAGTTTAAAAGTCAGATATTTTGTGTAACTTCTGTTAAAGCCAGGCTGGATTTCCACACTCCTCCTTCACACTGGAAATCACACCAGCTTTCCAAATGTTCTGAGCTCAAAAAATTTTGCCATCCTCTTCCTCCCTTTCATCTAAATTATCTGTTGTGAGCAGGAACACAGTATGTGTGTCAAGAAAAGCTAGACTTGTCTTCTTGGTCAATGAAGGCTACAAGTAAGAGCTCTGAAGCCTCTAACGCCTTAAAAGTGCAGAAAGTGACATCAAAAAACACTTGTTAATAAACCAGAAGAAAACCTCCAAAATCTGAGTTGAAGATTTCAGAGCATTCTAACTAAAGCCAAAACCAGGTTTGGGCTTGGCTACACACTGCTTGCTGTCTCCAGGAAAGTGAAAGCAAGAGATTCTGAAGGCTGGACTCAAGTCTCAGTGCAGAACAAGGAAGAGGAAAATAATTAGTTGGTTTAGGACTGTGTTATGATAGGAAGACAGTGGGCTACTTTGCCCAAGAGGAAAAAAAACCCTAAAGCTGGTCAAACTGCAGGTAATCAAGATTCTATGATCACTTTAGAATATAATAGAACAGAACAGAATAAACAGCCCATCAATTTCAATCCACCAGGGAATGGCATGGAGCCCACACATGTCAAACTAGCAGTAACTTCAGAAGAATTATCCCCCCTCCCGGTTATTTAGCTATTGCTAGTGGTCATAGCAACAAGTGCCCTGAATCAACAAAACCTAGAGCCTGACTTCTACCTAGCTCTTATCCTTCTCTTTGATATTACTTTTCCTTTCACTTTTAATGAAGCCAGGCATCACACTTGCAACACATTTTTTCAGCTACGACATACAGATTTTTATACATATACACCAGTAATAGAACAGGTGAACTGGCACAGGTTTTTATGAGGTTGTGGCTCACAGTTGTGTTTTTGAAGCCAGTTGTTCGCCAAAAATATACCACTCAGATTTTATATAACATACAGATTTTAACCTATCCATTGACATACATGTCTACTGCTTCAGCTTACGCTCTGACCATGTACAAAACCAAAAGAAAACAGCAAAAAATGTTTGCTGTCCTGGGTAGACTAGAAACTTGACTTCTCTACACTTAGATGACAGGTGGAGAAGCATCACTGGTAGATATCACAGCCACCTGCTCTGTATGGCTACTTCTCAAGTCTGTGCCAGGAAATTGGGTCTCCAGCCCCTCCTGGAATCAGCAAGTGCTACTGGAAGACTGAAAACTAAAGGTGCTCTGGGAATTCTTAATGTTTTGAAGTCTCCCACCAAGTGTACATAGACTGTAGCACAGCCTTGGACAGCCACAGGTCCTGTCATCAGGTGTTCTGTATGGCTGTGGAGTCAGCCGTATTGCCATTGTCCTGTTACTGAACTGGCATTCCTATCCCTGCCACTATTAGTAACCGAAGCACTGAGTACTACAGAATACTGTTACCTGTACAGCTCTTGGGACTCTCCAGCTGTGACTGGCATTTGTTGCTCTGGGCTACAATCCACAGACACACATTCTGCAACAATCACAATCCCAAAGAGCTCATCATCCAGAGGAACAAGAGAGATTCAGGGAGGGGAAGCAGTCACAGATTAATTTGACAGTTTATTCATGGGGAAAAGGGATATTTCTGCCAGAAGCAGAAAAAGAAACCTTTTGCATGACTAAAATATTTACCAGTTTCTATTTTTCCCAACATTCAATGTACTGAACAACAGACTCATCTCTATTTTGTTCTGCTTTACGAGCACTTGTTACAGTTTAAGCAGTGCATAAAAGTGTGGTGTCTGGGACTCTGTCAGGCTCATTGGCTGGTTTGAGTTGCTGATTTTTCCAAGTCCCTCAGACCCTTAAGAAGTCATAGCAGTAATATCAAAAGGAGGCAGTTGAAAAAACTCTTGATTTGAATGACAATAAGCCCTTAAAAGAAAACTCAGATGTAGCAAAGGCAGTCATGAAGCACCAAGTCCCTCCAAGCCCTGACTCAACACCTGCTGAAACATCCAGGAGTCTAGTGTACCATGTGTAGAGAAAACAAAGGCATTCAGGTATTATTCTTTGTTGTCCAGCCTGCTTCACCCCCCACCCACGCTGCATCGTTGGAAACCTACGTTGTGAAAGATACATGATCCTGAACCTCTCAAAAAAACCTAGCCATATTGTTGTGGTGAGGAAGTATCTGAATCAACCAGTCCCGACAAATTGCTGCTGGTTAGGCACAGTCTGGACAACACAGTTCTTGCTCCCTTTTTTTCTCCTTCTACTTTTGTACTTGAAAAACTGCTTTCATAAAAGCCCATTTTAGTTTCTACATGCTTTTCTCCATCTTCTCCCTCCACTGTCTTCTTGCCTCTCACAGCAAATGAATCAAAACTCAATTTAGGAATCAGTCAATATTAATAAGTTCAGATGAAAACACAGCTTGCCAGGACAATTCACTGCAGGTCAGTCCTGGCTCTCATCTCTCCGGGGAACCCTGGCCCTCACCACAGGCATGGGCACGTGTAAGAGACACGGGCTTTCCTGGCACAACAGTCTTGCTGTACACGCGCTGTAAATCCAGTGCTTCCCATTGTGCCAGATGCATTGGGTGCGTGCACACACACTACAAATGGCTTAACTGCCTGCAGAGCGCAATACATCATGGAATCATAGAATCATTCAGGTTGGAAGAGACCCTTGGGATCATCGAGTCCAACCATCTACCCTACTCTACAAAGTCCTCCCCTACACTATATCCCTCAGTACCCCATCTAAACGTCCCTTAAACACAGCCAGGGATGGTGACTCAACCACCTCCCTGGGCAGCCTATTCCAATGCCCGACCACTCTCTCTGTGAAAAATTCCTTCCTAATGTTCCTTCCTAATGTTCAGTCTTTTTCTTATGATAATCTGGAATAAGGGACAAAGAAAGAACAATCCTGAACAGAAGGTGAATAAACATTTCAGCAGCCTAAAATAAATGTCAAGTACCCAACCCAACCATACCCAACATACCCAACTTCTCATGTTGCACATGAGAAGTTTCTGCAAAGATCAATAAAATACTTCCTCACGGGAACACAACTTCGATAGCATCATCTCAAAAGATTTTATTATTATTTCCAACCTCGACTTTTCAAAGCTTTCAAGGCTCCCTGCTTTGCTAGAACACACAAACCATAGTAAAAGTAATTAAAAACCCAATAAGCTTTACATTTCCTCTAAACCATTACAGAGACCTCCTACACAAGAGCAACACTCTTCACCCAAGCACTACTTTCCTCTTGAAGTCCTGTAACAGCTGAACAAAAAATTGCTTCTTTGATTCTTATTACCTTCTTTCACTCCTCCTTCTCCTCTTCCTTCCCTTCCACAAACAGAAAAGCAGAATAGTTTTTTTATTACGAAACGATGGAAACATTTGAAGGGCCTTAGAATGTTCCCATACTCACTAGAGCTGTCCTAGAGCAGTGGTCTCCAACCTTCTTTGATGGTGCAAAATAAATTACATACCTGTCCCATTGTACTATTATGTTATGCAAATCATAAACCATACACAAAAACAGACATTAAAAAAGGATGAGAATGATGAAAAAACCACCACTGGAACAGCTGCAGAGCATGAAGTCTCAGGAGTTTTATTACTGAGCCTGGTACTAAAAAAAGAGTTGGTCCTAAGCTATTATAATGCAACTACAGTAAGATGAAGTTTTATTCCTCACTATAACCTATAAATTGTGATCAGTCAAGGTGCTGAACATCAGCAGGCAATGTATCTGTGCCCTTTTTTAAACCTCATTTATGAGCAAAGGTTTTCCACTAAGTCAGGTTCTTCCACACACTATTTAACGACCTCTCCCCTGAAGTATTTCTACTTCTGAAGTTAACACAAGATAACTTAAAATATAACAGTACAAAAAGCCTTGCTTTAGAATGAACTACTCTATTATTGTCTACATTCTTCTATTCATAGATATCTTCAAAGGGCATAAGATACAAACTGATGCAGAGTTCACTGTACAGGTTTTACAGTATTTTCTGTGTTACTATTGACTTCTTGCCTTCCACAACTTCATGTTTTTTGGTTGTATTGAAGAATTATTTTTGGGGGGTATTAAAAATAAGCTGTTCAAACAACAAAAAAATTCTCTTTCAAAGCAGATAAGCTTTAGTTAAGATTTTCTTTTCTAAATCACAGCTATCAACAGTACTTGTGCCAACTCTTTGACAAAGTTACAGGACTGTAAGAAACACAGTGCACTCAAAAGCTGCTGGCCTTGGAGCACACAGAAGCAATCTCCACTACTCAAAGACTATTTTGTGCTCTCTTATTTATAATGGCAGCTTAAAGATGTTTAGCACTTAACAATACATAATAAAGATAAAGGCTCAGAGCCTCAAGGAGTTTACACAACTTTAATCTTCCAGTCGTGCAATTGCCACTGTGTGGTTGAGCTGGGGCTAAGCAGCAGCACATGGAGGCTATGCATTAATTGCTATGCAAATGAAATAAGTGGGTCACAAGTTCAAAACAGACCAAGTAAGGCTGTTAAAGCATGGAACCTTTTTGCACAGAGCTCAACTCTCTGCCCAGCTTGAGCCAGACAAAAAAGAAACAAACCAAATGAGAGCTTGCAGCCTTGCACTCCAGTAAAGGTGAAGAAGTCTGCTCTCAACTCTCCTTTTAACCCGGGAAACCATAACCCCACTACCAAAGCCCTCCACCCAGGCTTTTTTAGGCGCCCCAAAAGCTGTTCATAGCCTTTATCCTTCTTGTAACTGTAAATGTCATTACAGAAGAAAGAAATAGCAATCAAACAAAGCTAAAACACTTGCATATATAGGCACGCTTTATCCTGAACACCAGGGATAGAGCTAACTATGGAAAACATAACTGGCTCATATCTCTGTTTCATCTTTCTTACCATTCAAAGGAGCCCTTTAGTTTTGCAAACATACAAGGAAATGAACATTCTCTGCTTCCTCAGCCAGGTCTTCCACTTCTAATCTGCCCTATTTCTCGCTAGGAAAGGATGTTTCGCTCTCCTTTTCTGCTTCCCTTCCTTCATAACATTACACAACTCTCCTTGCTAAGTAACTATTACTAGCTATCAAGTTCCCAATTAGATGATTTGATAATAAGGCTGGATTTTTCCTATTATGAGCAGGCTCTGCTTATAAACTGTGCCCTTATGATCAGGTCCCTCATAGAAGGACACATAACTTGTGTAATACAATCTTTATCAGGAACACACACTAAACTTCCTAAAAAACCCAAACCCACTATGAACATACTTCATTCAAACATAATTTTCCAGTGATAAATACATACCCCTAAATTAACTGGGATGTTAGGATAATGTTTAAATAGATAATATCAGTTTTCTCTTCCCCAAAAGCATAGATCCCTTTTCACAATATCAAGTCATTATAATATCTTGACAGGTTTCCTATTTGTTGTTTAAAGTAATTGGTAAGACATAGACTGCAGTGCAGTTGCTATAACACTGATCTGACCTAACCTCACTGACCCACACTTGCTAGAAAAAAAAGCTGAGATTTCTGAGATTATAAAGTTAGACCCTACTTTTCACAAGATGTCAAATATCGTGGCTATTTTTCCCCATTATTTAATTCTAATAGCATAGAATACACGTCTTCAGTTGCTTTATGAAAAAACATTTATATATTGACCAGATAACCTAAAAGCAAACACTTATTTTCTGAATCTGTATATTGTCTATCTACAAACCAGGTTGCTGTCTTACTGATATAATAACTCAGCACATAACGTGAATGGACAAAGGAAAAGATTAAATAAATAGCAACACAGTTTAACCACAAGATTGTGGTTTTTTTTAACCCTTTCTTATCAATATATCTTTCTACCTGCATGTGTAAATACTTTCCTTTTTGTTTTTTTCCCTGGTGATCATTGAATAGGGGAGAGAAGAAAATTCTCTATTGTAAAAGCAACGAAATCTACAGAGCAACACAATCTGTGCATGAACAGTAAAAAGAGGAGTTACAGAAACCCTTGCTTGCAAGAGATTTAACCTGGTTTTAATACCATGTGCCTACCAAACACAAAGCACATTTTTCTTTACCCACAATTATTGCCTTTTCGCTTATGTGCAATCCAGTCACATGCATATCATATAGAATGACACAACTCACTTAGAGGATTTGGCTTTATATGCAAGAACTAAACATGATAACAGTTGTTTCAGCAGTATATCCCCAATGCCTACACTTCTCCATGAAACTGCACCAGTAATACATTTATCATAGTCAACGCAAACTATTGCAGAACATAGAAATTAACTGAAGTTATACTTACTGTAACCTGGGAAGCATCCATGAATTGTAGGCCAAAATAATCAGTTTCCACAAGGTCCAAATGATACACAATCTGGTCAAACAACTCCTGTCCCTTTGCATTTTTCTGCAAAAGAAAAGAAAGTGTGGTTATTTTGTGGGCGGTTATGGGTTTGTCTGGATAGTTTCCTTTTTGAGTTCAAATGAGGGAGAGTAGATGTACAAAGGAGAACAGTATCTAAATAGTAATTCTATTCATTCTAAAGAATTGTATTGACATTTCCTTTTATTTTCTTTAAGACAGATATAGTGACATGTTGTTCCTGCCTGCAGCTATTCCAACAGCATCAGACTTCACTCTCAAAATAAAAGCTTACAAAGTTCACTCTAACTCAAAGCATAAGAGAGAAAGGAAAGGTTTATGTCCTGTAAGCGTCCTAAGTCAGAGCCAACATTTTAAACCCCAGGAAGCCAAATTCTCCAGTAAAAGCTTGCTTGACACACTGCCTGAAATCTGCTGGCTGTTATCACATATCAACTGCAGTCATGCAGCGCCATACCACCATTCAAGCTGCAAAATAAATTCTGGACAGCTTGAACACTTGAAGCACACTGTGAGGAAAATTAATGGAATTTGATAAGAATCTTTTAAATAACGTTGCTAATTGCAATCACATTTACAGTCTTTTAATGAAGAAACAAAAAAAAGGCAGAAAAGAAGTTACAAGTCTTACTGAGTGTGCCATCTGAAATACAAAGGCATGGAAACAAAATTAACCTCAATCATGGGCTAGTAGAAAAGTTAACTGATCTTAAAGCTAGGCTGCATTGGCCTGTGAACTTGTTCTGAGGTTAAACCAAGAATTTAGATATTCAGTGCTTCAAATGCTAGAAGAAGCAAAGATTGGAGGTGACAGGTGGGTACTGTGTACAAAAAGTTTGCTAAAAAGTAGCTAGAACATTATCTCACATGTGGTAAATTCAGAACTTGTTAAAAGAAGTCAAACCAAAGCACAACAGAATTTAAACTGATTCTGCTCAAATGAGAGAGGAAAAAGCCCACCAAAGCAATAAAAAAGAAATGGCAAGACATGAGGAATTCACAAAACTAGGAAAAACTGATTTGATGTCCTATGATCACTCTATTCCTGGTTACTTGCTTTGTGTCATTAACCACCAGTATGTTTATCTTCGAGTGCCACACACCCAATAGAAACCAGAAAGAGCACACTCCACCTTCTGTACCCAAATAGTAGTTAATGTTCAACATATGTGCTACATGGAGAATGGCTCTGCACTGCACGGCTAGACCATAAAATGCAGTATTACATACATCGCTTACAGGAGATTATAACATTTAACTTGTCACTAAATGAGCTTTCCCAGCAACTCATACCATTTAGATGATAAAGCTGCTGCAACCAACAAACTGCTGACAAAAAACTTTCTTTGAGATGTTAAACTAAACAGGGAGATAAAAGTGACTAACTCCTTTCCTCTACTAAGAGTAAAGGATGACCTGCTCTCCTTTCTTCTGCTTCTTCACTGCCTGACAATCCAGGGAGTCAAACTGCAGACTGATAAATTGGTACCCATGCATTGAATGAATGCATGGTATATGCAAAACAGAAGGGTTTTTCCTCAGAAATTACATATGTCCACATGCATAAAAGTGGCGTCCAATGGAAAAAAATGCTGTAGTATAAGAAACTTCTGATTTTCATGGTCTTTTCCACCTCTTCTCCCTTCTAGATAACACAGAAGCTGGAAGAATGTTTTCTTTATCCAAACCTGGTACCATATACAGAATATAAAACTGATTTCACACAATAAAAAAATCTGAAGTAGATCTAATCAGTTGAAATTTAATGAATCATACTTACTCTATAGACTCTCAACTTGTGCATATTTTTGGAAGATACCAGTAAAAAAAAAAAAGCATCCTTAACTAGGAGTATTTTACAGTCCTGCCTTGCTAGACAGATGGTTCAGAACTGTCAGATGTAAAAGACCTGCAAAACTTCTATCTCAAAAAAATATGGCAACAAACAATATACGCACACTACTATATACAGTTACTACTTTGTTGTTATTCAAGTTACTGTAATTGGGAACAGTTATGTAAGGAAAGTTGCAAAACCTTATTTTGTTTGGTATAGAGGGGGCTTGTTTGGTTGGTTATTTTATTTTGTTTTGTGTTTTTTTTTTAAAAAAAACCCAACAATGTAACCACTGCTAGTTTCTGGTGAAGTGTTCTTGGAACCCAGGAGAACTTGTGTGAACACCGTGAAACCTCTTAGGCAAATGCTGGAGGGGCATTTCAAATGTCCAGCTTATGAACAATGTACAGCCACAACCCAAAGTAAAACTGAACTAGCATGAGGCAGTCACTCGTGTCCCTTTTGCCTCTTTGTCCTTGAAGGAATATAAAAAGACTGAATTACACTGGCAGGTCTGGAAGTTCCATGATCATATGAGACTACTGAAAGGAAAAGAAAAAAGAAAAGAAAAAGTCTTTCTCACATCAGTCAGCCCCATGAGCCACTCACGCCTGACAGTGGTGCAACTTTCCTCCACTCCATATCCCAGAAGCCCTCCTCAAATAACCCCCCCATCATATTTTCTTTGGGACCATGAATCATGACATCAACGAAAATGCTTACATTTAGTGAGGACTTATTGTTGGTTCTTCCTACAAAGACTCAAATCAGCATAAAGCACCTTGCAGGGCACAGCAACAGCTGCATGGCCCACATTTCAAGTAGGCTAAATTTTTAGCTGCCAAAGACTTCCAGTCTCAGGGAATCTATGGAAATTCTTGTCAGCTAAAACCTGACAAAACAAAGATTAACTTATCTAATTAGAAACTCTTCCAGACTTGACATGTGAATAGGCAAGAGGTTTTAACATGCTTTTGGTGGGCATGAAGGAAAGGGAAATTCATCAGCCAGGGGCATTTTACACAAACTCTGTCCAAACAGGCTGATCAGTGCTGATTTTACCTCTTCCAGAATTGTTTGAAAGATTCTGCCAAAGGGCATGAAGAGGGGACACAGAAGCCAGAAAAGTCCAGGTTTAGTGCAGACACAGCGCAAGAATGCCATTGATCAGTCTCAGAGCACACACAGCCAAGCTGGAGAGCTTCCGTGCACGCCTTCCCAACCTGATGTGCAGCATGTAGCAACCAAGCACGGTGCTTCACATGAACCCAAGTGGAGTGGCTGAATTGTTGAGTCATACTAGAGAGTTTGGATTACAGCATTACAAATGAACTGTTAACGGATTTCAGAAATAGCTGAGGTTGTGCTTGGGAAAACAAGCTGTCAGATAGGCCAGGAGTACATGAAATAGCCTACAAGTTAACAAATTATAATTGAAAAAGAGGAAAATAAGTTACTGCCAAGAAAAAAGTCAAAGCCAATTAACTGTAATGTGTCCCAAACTGAATAGTGAGTAGTAGAAGAAATGAATTGGTAGGGCAGACTGAGTTTCTTTTTCAAAGAAAGCACAGGATTGTGTATTCTGCAATACATCAACTATTTTTTCAACAGACACCAGGTTTTACCTTCTACTAAGCTAGTAAAGGAGCATTTGTAGCTAGCAATCCTCTGGCTCTGCAGGCCTGATACTGCTCTAATCCAATGGCATCAGCATTTCCTCTCATTGGCATTTCCTGGAACCAGGTAGATCAGTATGTTCTGCTCGGTCCTCTCACACCTGAACTGTTATTAACTCATTTTTCAAACCTACAACTACAGCTTTATCTGCTGGCCATACTGTTTAGCAGTGATAACTTAGTTTTTAACAGTCACTGGCAATGTTGTTTCCCAGCATTTCAGACATACTACAGGCTAAACATGCATAAAGCCAGCTGAGCTTCTAATTAGGCTTGACTCCTGGTGCCTGTTATCTGTCCTTTAAGTTGTTATCTTCTTGACAGTGAAGCCCTCAGTTTCTCAATCATATTCACCTGCACTGAAAGAAAGCAATATTTGCACATTTTAAAGCACAGAAATGCAATTCTATATTCTTACGAATCTGTTCATTAGGTCCCGTGGGAAGAGGGTGGGGTAGATGTGCTCTAAGCTTGGTCACTGGGGGTTATATGACTGTAATGCAGACATCCTTTGGATCGTGACTTTTGTCTGCAAAATGCAGACATCCTTTGGATCGTGACTTTTGTAGGCACATCAGAGCTAGCTCTTAAGTAAAAAGAGCTGCATATTACACAGCAGCTATGATATCTAACAGCTTCAGCCAAGTATGCAGTTAAGGCTATGGCTGGGCTTGCAATGGCTGCACAGAAAACCATGTTATCCAGCCCAGCAATGCTGCTATATAGTAAGTATTGTCAAAAAGGGTAACATTTTTTCAAGTTCCGGTTTCCATGCTGCCATCCAGAGACAACACTCCGCAGAGGGCATGCCATGCCCTGCAAACTAGCCATGACTTTGGTGTCTGTCCCACCCTCCTCCCAGGGGACCTAATAAACAGGTTCATAAGAATGTGGAGAGAGTTGCGTTTCTGTGCTTGAAATTATGCAAATATTGCTTTCTCTCAATATATAAAAATTCCATGTTAAGGACTAAAAGAAAAACAAGTTATTTCTGAAGATATTATACTTCCGTGAGGCTGGCTAACTTGCTCAAGCTACATGAAGATGTTAGGTTATTTTCTTACCCGTCAACCATTGACTCAAGTTTCCAGCTCTGGCTCCAAGCTCCTTTGAAAATGTGACACTGTTGAAATAACCATTAAGCCTCTCACCCTGTCATGGCAGTAACAGCAGCATTGATTCAGAGCCTGCAACTGCATGCAAATTATGTCTAAATGTAGTACGGACCACAGAAACAAGCAGCATTCCTGAACATGCCCAGAAGAAAATGCAACTGATGATGCATGTAAACTTTTAGCTAAAGGAAAACAAAATTCATTGTAACCCCTAGAAAGAAATTAGCTAAAAAAAAATAATCCAAAATCACCTTGACCTACAAAAAAAACCCTAAAACAAAGATGCCAAACGCATACACACATGACCAAAACCCCAGCCCTTCATCAGGAGACAAAAAGTCCTCTGAATGGCATTTATTTATTATAACCTTGAAAGCACAAACACTTTTCTCCCAG